TAAAGTAAGAAGCATTTCACTTCCTGACTTCAAAATGTATTGCAAAGTTGTGATAATCAAAACAGCATGGTACTGTCACAAAAACAGGGATGTATTCCAGTGGAACAGAATAGAGAATCCAGAAATAACCCCCAAAACATACAACCAACTAATTATTGACAAAGGGCACAAAGCAAATCAATGGGGGAAATGGAAATCTCTTCAGCAAATGGGGCTGGAAAAACTGGATATTCACCTGAAGAAAAATGAAACTGGACCCCTATATCTCACCACTAACACAAATCAATTCAAAATGGATCAAAGATCTAAACATAAAACTTCAAACTGTAAAACTACTGGTGGAAGGGAGCCAGCAGTTAGCGTAATGGCTATGTTGCTGGACTCCCACGTAGTTGACGGTGGTTCGCATCCCAGACCCGGTGGCTTAGAACTCACGCCGGGTGCGTGTGCGTGTGTGCCCAAGATCCCGAGAGGAGAATGGAGAAGAAGGGATTGCGGCGTGACCATCCCCTCTGGGGGGTGATTTCTTGCTTTCTGTCTCTCTGTCTCTCTCTGTCTGGCGAGCGCACGCACCCCATAGTGAAAACCTCTCAAAAAACAAAACAAAACAAAACAAAACAAAACAAAAAAACTACGGTGGAAAACACAGAGGAGACGCTTGGAGACATCAGAGTAGGCAGACTCCTTAAATAAGACCTCCAAAGCACAGACAATAATCCCAAAAATAGACAAGTGGTACTAACATCAGGCTAAAAAGCTTCTGTTCAGCAGAAGCAATTAGAGGAGACAACCCATAGAATGGGACAGTATATTTGCAAGCTATGCCTCAGATAACGAACTAATACCCAGAGTATACAGGGAATTCAAGCAGCTTAGCCACACACGCACAAAAATCTAATTTAAAAATGGGCAAATGGGCTGGCAGGTGGCATGGTGGTTAAGGGTGCTGGACTTCCAGATGGCAACTGTGGTTCGGGACCCAGACCTGGTGGCTTGCTTTCTCACTCCGTTCCTCCCTCTCTCTCACTCTGTCCTTCTCTGGTCAAATGAAAATGAATAAATAAAGTTAAATAAAATAATTAACGGTAAATAAGCTGAACAGACAACTTTTCAAGGAAGACATACAAATGGCCAAAAACCAGTGAAAACATCCTCAATATCTCTTTTCATAAGGGAAATGCAAATCAAAACTACAGTGAAATAACACTTAATCCCAGTCAGAATGACTAAGATTAAAAAAATAGAGAATGATAAGTGCTGGAGAGGCTGTGGTGAAAAGAGAACCCTCCTACACTGTTGGTGGGAATGTAAATTAGTACAACCACTGTGGAGAACAATATGGAGGTTTCTAAAAAGCCTGCAAATAGAATTATCATATGACCAATAATTATACTCCTGGGTATATACCTAAAAGATAGGAAAACAGAAAAACACTTGCACATCCATGTTCATTGTTGCATTATTCACAATTGCTAAGACTTGAAACCAGCCCAAATATCTAAGAGCAGATGAATGAATTGAAAACATGTGGCACAAATCACTATGGGATACTGCTCAAGGCATAAAGGACAATGAGACCCTGACATTTGACACACAATGGACAAATATGAAAGATTTAATTCTAAGTGAAGCAAGCCAGACTATAAAAGATGGGCATTGTATGTCCCCACTTAATATATACTGAATGGTGGGACCAGCAGTTAGCGTAATGGCTATGTCACTGGACTCCCATGTAGTCAAGCACGGTTCGAGTTCTGGACTCGGTGGCTTAAACTCATGCCGGGCACGTGTGCGTGTGTGCCCAAGATCCCGAGAGGAGAAGGGAGGAGAAGGGATTGTGGCATGGTCATACCCCCTGGGGGGGGCGCTGTTAATGCCCTCTAGCAGAAACTGAAAGATTGGAAGGATTAATTTCAGGGAGAGCAACTGTAGAGACAGTATAGCAGGGGGTAGGACTGGAGACCAAAACAAGCATTTAACAGAAATAAAAATGAAGGTATCTGTTGATAAGGTACATGGTAATATCTATGACTTGACTAATATGAGTACATTCATGCTGGGAAAAACCATTTATATGCTATAAACATATATAGTGATTAAATACAAATAAAAATTATATTTAATAAATTTAATAATTACTAATAAAAATACTGAACTAAAGGAGACTATGTCTAAGGGATTAAAGTAGGAGAACTGTGTGTTTCAACAAATAGAGACTATCAGTAAAAAATTGGAAAAGAGAACCAAACGGAAATTCTGGAGTTGAAAAGTATTTTAATGTCTTTTCTACAAAATGCACATATTGTCCTTCTTACGAGGTAATATAAGCTCCTTAAAAGTGTAGTAGCACAAGGTTGATCAGAAAGCCATAAGCTCGGGAACCAGCAGTTAGTGTAATGGCTATGTAGCTGGACTCCCACGTAGTCGACCGCGGTTCACGTCCTGGACCCGGTGGCTTAGAACTCATGCCGGGCTCGTGTGTGTGCATGCCCAAGATCCCGAGAGGAGAATGGAGCCATCCCCCCTAGGGGATGATTTCTCGCTTTCTGTCTCTCTCTCTCTGTCTTTCTGGCGAGCACATGCGCCTTACAGCAAAAACCTCTCCAAAAAAACCAGAAAGCTGTGGACTCGCAAATTTTACCAAAAATCAAAACTGTTCCTCAGCTCCAGGGCTACCTACGATCGGTTTTTGCCCTTACAAATGGAGTTTATCCTCACAAATTGGTGTTCTAAATTTTTCCAAGAATCTAATTAAATAACTGATCATTAAAAAAGTGTAGTAGTTACTTGGTGCTTGCTGATCATTATCCTGAAAGACACAATCCCTAATGCTGTAATCCCAAATTTTGAGTACTGAAAGATGAAACTTTTTAAAATCTAAAATCCCTAACATCTAAATCCTAAAACTCACAATCCTAGAAGAGTAACATTTTGAATGTTGATATCCTGAAAGCTGAAATCATGAACTACTTTAATACTGGACATATAAATTATGTAATAACTTCTAGAGAGTTCCAGTATTTTTTATACACTTTTTGCAAATTAAAAAAAAAAGTTTATTTCTGGGACCAGCAGTTAGTGTAATGGCTATGTTGCTGGACTCCCATGTAGTCGACCGCGATTTGCGTCCTTGACCTGGTGGCTTAAAACTCATGCTGGGCACGTGTGTGTGCATGCCCAAGATCTTGAGAGGAGGATGGAGGAGAAGGGATTGCGGCGTGGCCATCCCCTCTGGGGGGTGATTTCTCGCTTTCTGTCTCTCTGTCGGTCTCTGTCTGGCGAGTGCACGTGTCCTATGGCAAAAACCGCTCAAAAAAAAAAAGTTGATTTCTTTCATAAGCAAAAGAGACATGGAGAGATAGGTATGGTCTTCACACCATGATCCACCTTCAACTTCAGCCAGCCCTGAACCATAAACACTCATGTGCCCAGTGCATTAGGGAAGTCTCTGGGCATGAGCTAATAACTTTCCTGTGGGTCGCCTCGCAGAACATTCTGTCCCACAGTTCAGCCCCCTTCATGTTTTGCAAATCTGACTCGTTGAAAGTGTATTATCACAAATAAGCATTGTGTGGGTATGTAAAAATGTCCAAACATCCTCAATAAAGGGAAGTCTCCTTTTTGTATATGGATTTGTGAAAGATTAAAATTTCTCAAAATCTCAACTCTTCGGGTGACTGCATGTGCAATTGTGATCCACCATGGTTTTTGATAAACTCTGTCAATACCACAGTTACGAAGTTGAGTGCACGCACTAACCATGGTGGTATTTTATTTTTTGACCTAATTATTTTTAATAGAGATTTCTGCCTTAGGGTGCATGCACTTGCCAGAGAGAGAAAGACAGACAGTGAGAGGAAAAGTGAGAAATCACCTGTGGGGAAAGGAGGGGGAGACGAGGATGGCCATGCCACAATCCCTTCTCCTCCATTCTCCTCCTGGGATCCTGGGCACACATGCACACATGCCTGGCATGGTTTTCAAGCCACTGGGTCGAGTGCGATCAAACTGCCGTATGGTCTGTGTGTTCTTATAAGTGTTATCCACATAGTTGTTGTCTTAGTATACCCAAGTGTTTATGCAAAAACGTGTTGCTATTGCTTTTTTATTGTATAAAGTGGCCTAGGACATATTCTGTCATGTTTTTATGTATTTCTCAAATAAACTCCCTTTTAAAAATGTAAATAAAGGACCAGCAGATAGTGTAGTGGTTACTCTGTTGGATTCCAGTCGACCACGGTTCAAGTCCCAGACGCAGTGGCTTAAAACTCACACTGGGTGTATGTGTGTGTATGTCCAAAATCCTGAGAGGAGAATGGAGGAGAGGAGATTGTGTCATGGCCATCACCCCAGGGGGTGATTTCTCGTTTTCTGTCTGTCTGTCTGGTGAGCTCATGTGCCCCATTGGCAAAAATCTCTCTTAAAAAATGTACATAAATGTCTTTTAAAGAATTTTGTCATTTTTATCTTTTAGCATCTTGGGGAATTGATCTTTTGGAATTTAAGACTTGAGGGATTTAATAATTTATGAATTTTTATCTTTCATAAAGGCATTCAGGATTATGGCATTCAAAATCATTACTTTTGGGATTATGGCCCAGATCTGTACTTATCATGTACAATTTTTGTCTCTCAAAATAGTATAGTAAATGTTTTTTATTCTTATCACTTAGTATAATTTATGAATACATGTATATATTGTACGTCTGTTTTTCCGACCAGCATAGAGACTTCATGAGAATGAGTCCTGTCAGAGCCAGCATGTGTCATGGTGGTTAAGGCACTGGATTCCCACATCATTGACTACAGTTCGAGTCCCGGACTCGGTAGGGTGAAAATCACACGAGGCCTGTGTGCATACATGCCCAGAATGCCCAGAGGACAAAGGAAGAGAAGGGGTTGTGGTGTTCCCCCTAGCCCCAGCCAAGGGGGGATTTATTTTCCCTCTCTCTGTCTCTGTGGCAAAAAACACTAAACAAAGAGAATTGGTCCTGTTTACTTTACCCACCAATATCTATCCAGATATTCAACTCAATATCTGGTTGCTAGTAAGGTTTTGTTTGTTTTTTAATAAGTTGAACAAATTACAAACTAATGAGGGAAAGGAGCCATCATTGATCAGCATCTGCTATGTCTCGGCACTATGCAGTCTTTGCATGTATTATCTAAATTTGTCTTTATAACCCCTTTAAAATATATTTTTATTAGTTACCGCTATTCGTATATTCTAGGTGCTAATTTATTTATCTTGGAGGTGGGAAAGACCACTCGTTCAGTTAGTTTGGTTAGCCTACTATTTCCAGATTACAATCAGATGCCCTCCAGGCCAGGAAGTCTTGAACTCTGTGAAAAGAAAAATAAACGAATTTAATAGAGTTGAATTGAGCAAATGTTAACATGATTTAAATCAGGCAGTTGTCCCCAAACTTCCAGACAACTCCAGTTAGCCTTGCAACTGGGTATTTAAGTCAACAGGATGGGAAAGTGACGTGTGCAATAAAAGCGAAAGTGTTGTAAAAAAAACATGAGTGAGGTAGTGAGGTAGAGAAATCACTGGTTACATTCTGAAGTTTGTCTGCATTAACGTGATTTAAACGGCGGAATGCCTGTGATTGAAGCCTAGATGTGATTGGCTGTAACCCAGCAACTAGCTCAGAAAAACAGCCTAACATGTACAATTTTGGTTTATCCGTAGGAATCCAAGTGTGGAAGTACATGACAGTCTTAGGCCAAAATGGTTTAACACTGTTGTTGCCCCTTGGTTGCCCCTGCAGACTATGACAGGCTGAGCATTTGGTCTCCTCCTACTCTTTGTAAGTGAGCACACACAACTCCAAAAGTTTAAGTTTTTACATCAGATTTACAATGATAGAATCCATGTGGGGTCTGGAGGGGAATGGCTCCACTGAGGCACAGTGGCAATTTTGCATGTGCAACACATGAGCCATATGGGCAATGGCTTGAACCACAGCTAATCTGAATATTGGCAGAATACCTTGTTCTCCCAGAGACTGAGAAGATGAGAAGTCCTCAGCTGCTCTGAGGCCATTTCCCATGAGATTTTCATTGCCTCCTTGGCTCTGGTGAGACACGAAATTTTCTGCCTGTCTTTGGGAATATTGCTGCAACTAGAATTAGCTTCTTATTAATGGGATATCCCACAGCTCATGTTTCAGCCACCTGACTCTTTGCGTTTTATGTCATCCTTTACGTCGTGTAAATTTCTTTTCTTTTTTGGGGGAGAGGGTTTTTTTTTTTTTTTTTTTTTTTTTTAAGGGACTGCGCGGTTGCCGAAAGAGCAGACAGAGAGACAGAGAGACAGAAAGCAAAAAAATCACCCCCCACAAGAGGGGATGGCCATGCGGCAATCCCTTCTCCTCCCTTCTCCTCTCAGGATCTTGGGCACACATGCGCATGCTTTTGGCATGAGTTTAAGCCGCCGGGTCTGGGACTCGAACTGCGTTTGACTACATGGGAGTCCAGCAATATAGCCATTATACTAACTACTGGTCCCTAAATTTTTTTCTTTGAAATCACACCAAAATGATAAATGGCAGTTTTAGGGGTGGTGGTTGTTTCAGTTTTTGTTATAGGGCATGTGCACTCGTGGAGAGAGACATGAGGGGAAGAAATCATCCCCCCAGAGGGGATGGCCATGCCACAATCCTTTCTCTATTCTCCTCTCAGGATTTTAGGCATGCACGCACACAAGCCAGGCATGTTTTTCAAGCTGTCAGGTCTGGGACTTGAATCACACAGCCAGCCATGTGGGATCTAATCACCTTAACCACCACACCAATTGTTGGCCTGACAAATGGTGGTTTCACAAAGATTAGTTGCAATGCAGTATCTAAATCCATACCGATGATCTTTTTATACTTTGTTATATAAAAATCTTTCTTGCACTTTGAATGGTCTTTCATCCATGCATGATTGAATAACGTTATACATCAATCATTTGGAAAATACTGTTTTACTCAGTTCCAAATGTTGACAAATTTCATTATAAAATATCCAAAATGTCACTTATGTTTTTATTACTACTAGTTTGATCAGAAGAGTCTTTCAAGTATTGGTAAACTGTTGAGCTTACACTGCTAGATACAAGTTTTCCAAAATTCTGATTCTCATTTGAAAGCTTGCTGTTACCATTGTCAGCTGTTTCCTTGAAGTTAAAGTCTCACTTTGTTCATTTTTAGGGATGTGTCTGCCAGATGTCCAAATCTGATCAGCATGCTGTGCCCGTCAGTTCTTTCACATAAAATGGTGCTAAGTGAATAAGCAGTCAGTCCACCTTAGGTCAATCACATGAATGCTTTCCCAGAGACTATTTTACTTCGGTTTGCAGTAAAAATTCTCTATGTGCATTTTGCCATTTCATCCTATGGAATATTTAAAAGGCATGTACACAATGGTCAAGATTTATTTATTTGAAAATGTTTTTAGGGTTTTGTCATAGGGCACATATGCTCACTAGAGAGAGACAGACAAGGGAAAGTGAGAAATCACCCCTGGGGGGGATGGCCACACCACAATACCTTCTACTCTATTCTCCTCTTGGGAAGCTAGATGCACATTAATATTCTCAGTGTGATTTTCAAGCCTCCTGGTCCAGTGATTGAACCGTGATAGACCATGTGGGAATTTAACACCTTAATCACACTATTTACTGGTCCCAATGGTCAAGATTCAACAACATAATTTTTAGTCTTTCATTGAGGATGTGATTAAGCAAAACTGGCTTTTTTTCAGGACCAGCAGGTGGCGTGGTGTTTAAGGTGCTGGACACTCCCACATGGCCAACCATGGTTCGAGTCCCAGAACTGGTGACTTGCTTTCTCACTTTCTCTCTCTCTCTGTCTCACTCTGGGCAAATTAAAATAAGTGAATGAATAAATAAAAATTAAATAAATAACTCTTTATATAAAAAAACCTGGCTTTTTCTTTCAAAAGAAGAAATGCATTTTGGTAATGAAAATAATGCCACTAGCATAGTTTGGTACCACTATCTCTATTAGGCAGCAATAGTTTTATTCACATTGCTTTGTGTTATCAATACTAATATTAACATGGTGGGGAATAGAACCACAAATAATGCCTTAGTAATGCTATGAAATTTATTATGTCATGGACCCCTGAACGAGTCTCCTAGATTACTGACAGGACACAGGTCCTGTTTTGAGAACTGCTACTTTATAACATCTTTTTTTTGCACAAATGCAGTACTCCTAGGAGCTTTAAGCACTGAGAGAGCAGTGCGGGAGCTGCAAACTTCACAATTTTGCCTTGAAGTCAGGCACGGGACGGCAGCTTTGAACTGTTTATTCTACCATCTCTCTTATATTACTTGGTTCACATGGTTTATATGATAGTTATAGCAATGAACTTACCAGTGAAGTGTTATTTTATATTTTGAATAAAGTGAATATGGTTGGTATGAAATAGGTTGATGAGATAAAACATAATTTTTTCAGCCTGAAAAATGAAGCTGTTCCACTTCTGTAGAGCTCTAGACATTCCAATGATAAAAGTCACAAGAATAGGGGAAAGAGGAGAAACCAATTCTAGTATCTCATACTGGGAAAATGCATCTTTATTATCCAACATGAATGATCCCTATACCAGAATCTAAAAGGACAACGTTTCACCATGAATTCTGTTTCTGTGAGATGCTGCTGAACGTGGGCAACATTTAATGAAATATGACTTCATAGAATACAGGAGTTCTGTATGTTTTTTTAAGCTCACACTTCAGTTGAGGCCAGTTTCAGTTTAAGCAACAAGCTAAAAGTCTGGTATATGGGTGAAGAGTTACACTAGAAGGTTTCTAGGGTGGTCGTGAGTATATGCAGAAAGAATTTCAGTGTATCTTCAGGCAATGTGAAAGGATTTTCTTTATTCATTAGTAGTAGCCAGTGGGGGAAAGACAGAAATCTATACCACTATTTTAAGAGAGCTAAGATGCAGCAATGCAGTTGCCTTGAGAGAATAATTGGAAGGCTTAATCAAGTCTCTGCTTAAATAAAGTGATCCTAAGAATGTAAAATCTCCTTGTCGGGGCCCTTATCTGAAGCACTGACCCTCAATGATGATTTGGCTCATTCTTTCAGAGAGCACTTACTATTTAAAAAAAAAAATGTCCTACTATGTTCCAGGCACAGTGTAATTTTTCTAATAGAAAATGATGAATGTATGTTACACCAGGTGTCAGAATTCGCCAGAAGCAATAGTTCAACAGCATGGTGATATTATGCAGGAAAATGAAAATATGGCACAAAGTTGAATGCATTAGCGCTCCATTCCTTATCTATTTACTTTCACTAACCTGCACTGTATTCTCCTTTTAGTCTTTCACCCTCCAAGTGGATCCCGTTCATTATACTTCTCCTTTCTTACTTTTTCATTTATTTTTTCAACAAATATGCATTGGATACAACCTTGAAGGGTGGGTCCATTTGACATTTGCAGTATAACTGAAAAGACAAAAACGAAACAAATAATTGCATAGCCCATCATTACAGTTACAGTAAGTATTACGAAGGAAAAATAGAGTCATGAAGGTGCACAGCAGGAGATGCAACCTGGTCTTTTAGGTTGGGAGAAGTCACTAGGTCAATGACTAATCACGCAGGTCCAAGGGACAAGGGAGCATATGAAGCCACTCTAAGGTGGCCAACCATCCAGGCCATGCCTGGGACTGAGGGGTTTCCTAGGATGTAAACTTTTGTGCTAAAAGTATACTTAGTGAGGTCCTGGGTAAACCCTGGAGTCAGTCACCCTGAGCTATCTATCCAAGAAACTTCCCATCTGGTGAAAGACTAGCTTCTTTGGAATTGAACCTTGAAGAGGTGGCTAGTAAAGATACAGAATTTCCCTTTCTTGCCATGTGAAGGGATAGTAAAATATACGCACTTGGCCATAGCAGAGCACAGGACTTTGCCACCGTAGAACATTGTTCAGTGTGCCACTGGAGATTTCAGGCAGCCTAGTAAAACCTTTTCAATTACAGAGGGAATTATGGGTAAATGACTACTGTGGTCACATCACTGGTTGATATTAGAGGTAATACAGGTCTGGTTTCCCTGGAAATACTGTTGTACTGTTTAATCTACCGACTATCTTATTTGTATCACTTGGTTCACATGGCTTATATTATAAGTTACAGCAGTTCACTTATATTTTACTTTATTTAATATAAATATTTTATTATTTGAATATTTTGTTTTTATGTTTATATTGTATAATAATACTTCAAGAGTACTTACTCCTGGCATGCTCAGAGAGGCCTCAGGACTGAAACCACTTGATTTCTGAGAAGGAGATTCTATTGCAGATGATATTTTTTTAGGGATTGCTCTTGGGAGTACGAGGAACAGGACCCGGCAGAGATAAGTTGAGCTGTGATGTGGCCTTAGCTCAGTAACTCCAGAGCTTGGAGACATGTAGATGGAGAAAAGGGGGCTGGGTCCACCAATCACTGTGTGACTGGTGGGAGGAGGCGTAACCTTTTGGCTGAGGGTATTTTTGTTCAGTTGAGGCAATGAGTACTTAGTGCTGAAGAGGGGAGCTGAGTAGCACAGTGTAGCACCTCAGATCTTCAGATTTCACTTCAGTGTTTACATTATATCATGTGTCACCACTAATCAAGAATTGCATAGAGGTTTTTTTTTTTTTTTTTTAATTGCCAGAGGCCACATACACTAGCCAGGGAGAGTGAGAAAGGGAAAAAGCAACCCCCCCTCCCCCAGGCATGGTCATGCTGAAATTCCTTCTCTATTTCTCTGTCCTGTCAGAACTTTGGGCATGCATGCACATGTAGTCAATGTGTTGCTGATGCTGCTGGAGCAGGACTTGAACCACCGTCTGCTATGTGAGATCAGCTCAGCCATGAGGCCAGCATACATGTAGACATTTTTAAGCTCTTGATTTAGTATGTAGTTAAATAAACTCCCTGGAGGTCCGATGGTGACTCAATGGTGAAATGAGATGCCCTACTTATCCATCTCATATGGGAAAGTTCCTGGATCAAGTTTGGAGATGACTTTGAGTATGTTGGTAAAGCACTTGTCCATGATCTGGGCCAGACTGAAGGCTAGGAATGGATTGCAGTGTTCGGATCCTGTTGAGGGTGTTGTCTGTCTCTCGCCCATGGAAGAAAACAAGTGAATAAACTTTAAAAGTAAATAAATAACTTTATTTCCTGCCTCTAGAGAGATACTGATCAATAATGTAAAAACCATAAAATTATAAATGAGTGAATCTGTAGATGCAAATAGGATATAATTACTGGCATGTTCTTGACATGCTCAGGGAGACCCCAGGACTCAAACCAAGAACCTTTTCCTTGCGGTCTAGTTGCATTAACACTCCGTCACCCTCTGGCCCCAGAAGCTGACTTTTAAAATATAAACTGTGACGTACCCATGAGCAAAGACTCAGACTAGAATGCCAGCATTTGCCGAGATAAAATAAGAGATTGCATTTCTCTGCTAGCACAGGAAGTATGAACCACTAAGAAATTCCAATACAAATGAACGAGAGTGGAGAAAATATGTTTAAAAACACAATTTAAGAAAATCTATATTGGGGTAGCCTGTGGCATGATGGTTAAGGCAGCTGGATTCCATGTGGCTGACTGCAGTTAAATCCTGGGCAGAGGGGCTTGAAAAATACACCAGAAGCATGAGTGTATGTGTCCAAAATCCCAAAAGGAGAAGGGATTGTGGCATGGCCAAGCCCTATATGGGATGCTTTTCTTTTCTTCCTTCTCTTTCTCTGCCTCTCTTCTGTGAGTGAACACACCCTCTGGCAAATTTAAAAAGAAAGCTCCACATCAGTCCTTTTTAATTTATTTTTTGTAATAAGTGTTTGTGAAGCCAAAATTTCTATCAGTTTTGGGCTTTTCTTAGATGTCAATCTATTATTATGTGAAATAACCAAAAATCTATGTTTCATCAAATAAAATTAAATACTTGTAGGAATCAGTCAGTTAAGAACCAAGACATATAATTTCTTCTTTTTTTTTTTTTTCGCCTCTACATCTGGTATGGCAAAATTGCAGAATGGCAGCCTTTAACCCTTGCTGCATGTTAGAATTGCATAGGTAGTGTAAGAAAATGCCCAGGTTCTGCTCCAGAGATTTCTGTATTAGACTCTTTTTTTTAAAAAAATTATTTATTTATTTATCCATTTATTTATTTATTATTTTAAATTTGACCAGAGTTAGACACACATACACACACACACACACACAGAGAGAGAGAGAGAGAGAGAGAGAGAGAGAGAGAGAGAAAGTGAGAAAGAAACAAAGCCACCAGGTCCAGGACTTGACCTGTGGTCAGCCATGTGGGAATGTCCAGCGCCTTAACCACCACGCCACCTGCTGGTCCCTGTATTAGACTTTTGATGTGGGTTGTAGGGTTGTATTTTAGCCAGATTTCTCAAGTCCTTCCCATGCAGTGTCCCTGTAGTGGCTCATACTTAATTTTGGGAGGTGCTGGTATAGAGTACAACTCCAGCTGTGGGGCCATGTTTTCTTTGATTTTTTTTGGTCAGAGGGCATGTGTACTCGCTGAGAGAGAGACAGAGACAGAGACACAGAGAGGGAAAAGACAATCCTCAGTGGGTGTGCTCATGCCATGATCCCTTTTCCTCCATTTCTCCTGTTGGGATTTTGGGTATACACATGATGTGCCCAGTGTGTTTTTCAGGCCATAAGGTCTATGATTTGAATGACTCAGTCAGCCATGTGGGATCTGGCTCCCTTAAACCACCAGGTCATAGGACTGGCCTGAGTTATTTTATTTATTTATTTATTTATTTTTATTAAAAAAATTATTTTATTTAACGTAATTTTATTTATTTATTTATTTATTTATTTATTTATTTATTTATTTATTTATTTATTTATACTTATTTTAATTTGACCAGAGAGGAACACAGTGAGAGAGTGAGAGGGAAAGTGAGAAAGCAAGCTGCCAGGTCCGGGACTTGAACTGCAGTCAGCCATGTGGGGACCCAGCACCCTTAACCACCACGCCACCTGCTGGCCCCCTGAGTTATTTTATTGTGGTACTAGTAACCACTGTTCTATTTCTTGTCTTTCTAGGTACCTACTATTAAGGGGAATCATAGCACTTATGCTTCTGTGACCGGCTTATCTAACTTAGCATAATGTCCTTAAGGTTCATCCATGTTACAACATATGTTAGAATTTGTTTCCTTCCTTTTTAAAGTTAAATAGTATCTGAACTGGCATAAAAATAGATATAGGGGCCCATGGAATAGAAAGGAAAGAAATCTTTGCAAACGTAGTCAAGTGATTTTCAATATGGATGTCAAGACTATTCAATGAGGGAGAAGACAGTCTTTTTAACAAAAGGTGCTGGCTATTGTGGACAATACTGCTATGACTATGGTGTACAAAGATCTGTTCAAGTCCCTGCTTTCAGTTTTTTTAGTATATACCCCAAAGTGGAGTTGCCTATCACGTGATAACTCTCTCTTCAATTTTTTGAGAAGCCACCATGCCATTTTCCACAGCAGCTGCACCATTTTTCCTGAGAGCAATGGATAAGTGTTCTAGTTTCTTCACACCCTGACCAACACTTACTATTTTATATTTTAATATAATTGCCATCCTAATGGGTGTGGAATAATACTGTATTGTGGTTTTTAAAACTGCATTTCTGTAATGATTGGTGATAGTTAGCATCTTTTCATTTGCTTGTTGGCCATTTGTATATCTTTGGAGAAATGTCTATTTAAACCATTTACCCATTTAAAAAAAAAATCAGGTGGCAGGGCCAGCAGGTGGCATGGTGGTTAAGGATGCTGGATTCTCACATGGCAGACTGTGGTTTGAGTCCTGGACCTGGAGGCTTGCTCTCTTGCTTTCTCTCTCTCTTTCTCTCTCTCTCTCGCACACTCTGTCCCTCTCTGGTCAAATTTAAATAAATAAATAAAAGTTAAATAATTCCTTTAAAAAATGAGGTGGCTCTTTTACTTTGTGCTTTGATATACAAATTTTTAAAAATAATTATTTAATTTTATTTACTATTGTTATTATTATAGATTTGCAACAGGGCATGTGTGCTCACCAGAGAGAGACAAAGAGAGAGAGAGGAAAAGTGAGAAAGCAAGCTGCCAGGTACAGGACTCAGACCACAGTCTGCCATGTGAGAATCCCGTGCCTTCACCACCACACTACCTGCTGGCCCCATACAAAAGTTTGAGTCCAACTTCATCTTTTTTTTTCTTTTATTGTCTGTTCATGTGTATGTAAGTAATTATTTATTTATTAATAATTATTATTTTTCTTCAACTTTGCTATAGAGCATGTGTGCTCACCAGAGACAGAGTGAGAGAGAGGGAAAGTGAGAGAGCAAGCTGCCAGGTCCAAGACTGAAACCATGAGTTCGGCATCTTAACCACCATGTCACCTGTTGGTCCCTGTTGCCTTTGTTTTTGATGT